GAATAAGAGAAGGAGCCATTAGAGAGAGAGAAAAGAAGAGAAAACAAAGAGTAATAAATAAATTAAAAAAAAAAAGAATTTGCTATGAATTTAAAAAAAAAATGGATTTGTTTATTGGCTCACGAGTCGACTTGAACTTTGGCTTGTTAAGCTGGCTCGCAAGCTAGGCTTGAAATCCTCTCTTCCTTTCACGAGCCGAGCCGAGCCAAAAAAAAAAGTAGCTCGGCTTGACTTGACTTAAACTTGAATTCTACTCTCCTTTCACAACTTGAGCTTGTTAATCAAGATATCCTAAGTTTTAAAAAGTATTCAAGCACCTCCTTAAACCTACACGCCAAAAATAAGATAATAAAACTCATTAAACAAAGAAAGAATGACAATTCTCTTCCCCCCACCCACCACAACCGGCAAAGTTAGGCGTAAGATTTTCCCGCCCGCAAGATTTAAAAAAACAATTTCCTATTTTCCCATCCATCATTAAAATTCAGTTTACTTTTATTTTTTATTATACAAGAAAAAAATTCCCTAACCCTCTTTTATCTTTCCTCTCCCACCTCACTGCCCCAAAAGCGTCCATAACTCCATGTCTCCTCCCTTCAGCCTCCCCACCTCTCCTACACCCCACCACAATCGGTTCCTAACCTCACCCCATCTAAACCCAATCTGTCTCCTCCAGCTCTTACAACCTAGTCCCCCACCTAATCACAGCATCGCGGCGGATTTGTTGCTTTAGATCCACCGCGACCTAGGGTGTCCGCCACGATCTGAGCTAGATCGTGGTGGATCGGGTGAGATCACAAAGCAATCGCATTCTTCTGTCACGATCTGGCCGATTCCGGTTTGTAGTTAATTTTTTTCTTCACTCCCTTCTCAAATGGCGACCAAGCAGTAGGTGATTTTTTTTTCTTTTTTGGTTGTTAGGTAAATAAGAAATTGGTGACGATCGATCACATTTGTTTTTTTTTTTTCCCCTTAAAACTCAATATTCTTTGTCATCGATCTCACCAGTTTTTTATTCTCCTAACACCCAAATGTCATGGAAGGCCTCGTATGACGACGGTAAAGATGTTGTTGAAGCAAATACTACTTTTTTTTTTTTTTTTTGTCACTGTCAGTATACTTTGTGTTTTACTTGAGTGTTTTTTTTTTAATTAATTTTGTATCGATATAGTTTGTGTTTTACCTGAGTATTTCTTTTAATTAATTTTGTATAGATATAGTTTGTGTTTTACATGAGTATTTTTTTTAATGAGTTAATTTATGTACAACTGTCAACTGATTGTGTAGTATGTTTGTTGCTAAGTGTGTCTACAATCTATGGAACTTTATGAGATGGAATCCTTTGCGAATAGGAGAAGGATGTTCTCCTATAATACTGCCTCATTCTTCGCAAATTCAAATTGATATTTTTGCTGTTTAGGTACTTTTAGCTTAAAGATTTTGTTGAAGCAAATACTACTTCTATGAGTATACTTATAGCATTTTTTTTGCATTGCAACAGATATTCATGTCAATTCTGTATTATATTTCACATCCATTCAATACTATTTAATACTCATCTGATTGTTGTAATTCTTTAGCTTTAAGTTGGGGGCATTTTATTTTGATTTTGGAGGAGCATGCTGTAAGATTTTAGTTGCTTCAATTTTTAGTTGATATCATATTTGTCAGCCTGCTTTGTGTAATTAAGATTTTGGTTTAAACTTAGTTGAGCTGCAAATTTGATGGAACTTCTTTCACGAGATTTTACCTTTATAACTTTTTCTGCTTGCCCATTTTAATACTTAAAACCATTTTCCTATTTGCTTCATCACTGCTTGTTTTGTTCTATCGAGTGATATTTATATTTAGTTTCTTTGTGATTGTTATAGCTCTGATTTATCTAGTACATTGGTATTACTTTTACAGGTTCCTTTTACTCTCGTTCAAAGGTATTATTCATCTGATTATCTTGTTGATGACATGCATGGCTCTAAAGATCAGATTTTGTGAAGTTTAAAGTTTCTTGTACATTTCTTGAGGAAATTTAGACAATTTGTGGTTTTGGGAGCCCTGTAAGATCAGATATTGTCAAGCCTAAATTTGATTAATAGCATTTTCTCTTTCTTCTCATTTGTTCATTTTTATTACTAATGTATAATATTCTACTTTGTTTGCTTGTTGAAGGTTGGTTTGATTGGTTCTGAGGAAATTCTTCGAGCGACTGTAGATGGGTTATATTGATCATTGTTAATTTAGTTTTGAGTCAAGTAATCAAAATTTGTCTCCAGGAGGTGGTATAGACGGTCGCAACAATACATGTTACTAATTTCAACCAACATCACATTTGTAACATAAAACTTTTCTATAATAAACAATACATCGGTTCCAAAGACGTGAAATAACACCATTGCATGTTACTAATTTCGGTAACATTATGCAAGTGATTGATTTACTTGTGGCTTTATTTATCTTTAATCTTTTTAATGATAACTATTTCGTTATTTCTTTAATTTAGCTAATACTCATAGTTAAATAAATAAAAATCAATAAATAAGCAAATTATTAGAAGCTAAGCAAGTGTTCATAAAGATAACATAAGCAAATCGGAGAATGTTAAAGGTACATGGACAGAGACTGAAGTATGTTCATAAAGATAACTTATCCTAGGTTAGATAAGAGAATGGGAATTATTGTAGCATTTAGATAAGGTATAGAATAATAAATTCAGTTTTTTATTTTTTTATTATTAAAAATCAGTTTAGTAAATAAAAAAAATTAAGTTTTTTAAACCCTAGACCCTAAAAGAATCCCAACCAATCCTCCTTCCATCTTTCTTCCCCATTCCGCCGCCCCAAAAATCCTCTACCCCCTATTTTCTTTCTGTAACCTAACCTTGGCCATCCACCCCTCCAAAATCCTCGACTATAATGACAACTACGTGCGTTTCATTCTCTTCAATCTTATCGTTGCTCTCTTTTTATGAAGTCCCACCGCGAGGTAGCGCTTGCTATTTCACAAGTGCTCCATGGATCTCATCGGAAATGTCACGGCCTCCACAAAATCAACCACCACCACCTCCGCTACCGCATAAAACGCCACATCTAAAACCTCCACAACAACAACAGCAATCACTTCTAAAACCCAATATGCCTTGTCATCCATCCTCACCAATTTCTTATTTCCTAACACCCAACTGTCATCGGTCGTCACCAATTTCTTATTCTCCTATGGCCAGCGTTGTCTTTCTCCCAAGGTAAGACAAAGAACGATGCTTTAAGATCTTTGGCTTCAAGATCTTTACGTTTCTACTTTCTTGTTTTACTAAAATTTTTTATTTGATTGTTTGTTGTTTGGAATGGAATGGGTCTATTATTTCTTTGATTGGAACTGTCTGAATGAGTTTTTATGGCGTTTTATGGTGGTGGGATTGCTTTGTTTGGGCTGCCTTTTGTGTTGCTGGAGCCTGGACTCAAAATTTTCATCTGTTTTCTAGTTTATTCACATTGTTTTTTAAATAATTAAAAGATTTAATTTCTAAAAGAAAGTTAAATTTTTTATGAAATAAAGAAATTAAGTTTGAAGCGCAATGCTATTTTTGAAATAAAAGTTTAATAACAAACTTAAAGAGGTGGAGGACTTTATAAAAAAAATACATTGTTTGTGTGATTTCCTGTTTAACTGTTAGTGAGAGTGAATAATAAAAGTTAAAGAGCGAGGAATTGATTGGAGAAAGAGAAACAGGAAAATGGCAAGAAATTTGTAGAGGCTCTGTTATCCTTGAACTGGAAGTGAATAGACTAATACATGAGTCCAATGCTGGTATTAACAGCCTTTAGTATTAGGGAAGTGAGACACAAAATTTTCTAGGCCGCCTTCTCTTAATTATTAATCACATATAGAGGTGTTAGAGGTGGGCAAGGGACTGGTCCCTTGCGGGCCCAGGCCTGGGCCCGTTTGGGATTGGTCCCTTGGGAATGAGACTAGTCACTTATGGGCCTAGGATCGGTCTCAGGCCCATGAGAAAAACTAGGACTCGGACCAGGCCCTAGGCCTGATCGGGACAGGTCCCATGGGCCCAGGACCGGTTCCATGGGCCTTGGATAATTTTATTTTTCCCTCTGAATTTTTTTATATTTTGGGGGCAAAACAAAATTTTATAGGGGGTTTTTAGTATTTTTTAGGAGTAAAATTTACAAATTTTTATAAATTTTTTAGACCTGGAAGATTTTTTTTATTTTATAAATTTTGTAAAATTTTATTTTAACCCTCGTAATTTATAATTATTTTAAAATTAACAGGGGGTTTTATGTAATTTGGTAGGGACTACATTGAAAAAACACAAAATTTTTTGGGCCTAGGCCTGGGACCTTGGAGGAGGGCCCAGTGGAGGGCCTGGGCCCTCCTCCTTAGGCCTGGTCCCGTTTTGGGACCAAGCCTCCTAGGTCCAGTCCTCTCAAGGATTGGTCCTAGGACCGGGTTTTAGAGTTGAGCTTTTGGGGTTCGTTCCCAAATGCCCAGCTCTAATCACATATAAATTATTTCATTTATATTAATATAATTTTTTATAATTATCATTAATTGTCTTTGATTTTGTGTTTCAAGTTTGGGTAGTAGGGTAAGTTCAGCCTTTGGTTTTTAGAAGCTTTGTTTTGTTCTTGTTTTTAATGATGTGATGATATGTGATGATGAGGAGGATGGCGACAATAATGATTATATTGTAATAGTATTTTTCTTGATATTAATTTAATGTCAATCCTTGTTTAAAAAAACAAAGGAGGATAAAAATGTCAAATAATGACAATTTTATTTAGTTAGAGAACTGTATTTGAATGGTAAAATGTTAATGCTAATGGCCATCTTGACAGAATATTTGCGAAGTGCATGGGAAGCTGCGCGTTTGAAGGATGTTATGTCCACTGGTACTGGTTTCTTCATCTTCAGATTTTGGGACAAGGATGCGGTGCATTCAATCCTAGAAAGAGGGTCGTGGATGTTTGGGGGTAAGTCTATTGTTTTCCAACAATGGCATGCTCAGTTTTCCTTTGATAAAAGTCACATTTTCGAGTTTCCGGTATGAGCTCGTTTGTATGGACTGTTTTATCTGTTATGGTCTCACAAAGGACTTTGCATGGTTTCTTCTATGTTGGGTCGGCCGTTGTCGAGTGATAAGACAACTTCTGAATGGACTCGTTTAGATTATGTTTGGGTATGCATTGAGATAGATGCAGCCAAACCTCTCAAGCCCCAATTTGAATTTCAATGCCGGTTATCTATTGAACCCATACAGCTTACAATGTAATATGAGTGGACTCTTAAGAGATGCCCCAAGTGTTGTCTTTTTGGCCATGTTTGTCACCAACCAGAGGTACCTATTGCACCTATGGCTCAGGGTAAGAGTAAGACAATTATTAGCTTCCAAAAGGCACCGGGGAGTGGTATTGCAGTGCGATCTGAGGACCGTGAGCCTTTGAGACAGTTAGCTACTACTGATCCCATTAAGGATAGGGAGTGAGAGAGGGATGTTTCAACACCAGTTTGTGTTTCAGTTTCGGGATGGGCTACTACCATACATTCTAGTGAAGCTACAGTTACAGATGTTTCTTTCGCTTTGATCCCGTATTAGCAAACTATTTGTGCCAGTAGAGGTAAATTCTCTAACTCTAATTCTGGGTCGGATCTTGACACGCCTTTTCTTATTGAAGACGAGATGGACTGCATTATGGGTTTCACAAATTGCACGGAAAACACTCGGGCTTCCTTTACGAGTTTTGGGAGTAGGCAATCTACTTTTGCCAACAGGTTTTCCTCGCTTGTTCTACATAATGATGATCTCTAGACGTCAGATGCCACTTTATTTGGATCAGTTTCCCTGCCACCCTTGGAAAAGGGGAAAGGTCGGGGAAAGCGGGGCTTAGACCCAAGTGATTGTTTAGCTTGTTTCTAACCCAATTCTAATGATAGGGAGTTGGAATATTAGAAGCCTTAACGACTTCTCGAAACAACGCGCAGTGAGGAATTATATTTCTTATTCTTCTTTGGGTTTGATTGGCTTGTTGGAGACTAAGGTTAGCAGTTTCATCTACAGTCGGTGGTCTCGATAGTTTGTTCTTTATGGCAGTGTTTGTCAAATGCGACAGATTCTATTGCCTGTTGAGTTCTGGTATGTTGGGATCCTTCTCTTTACTCTGTGAATAGCCTTCATTTCTCTCTTCAAGAGGTCACTTGCAGGGTTATGTTTTAGAGGGGTTCTCCTTCGGGATTACTTTTGTGTATGGTTCTAATGACCCTGGGAAATCGCCGCAACCTATGGGATTTCCTTAGGGATCAGGCGGCGGAGTTTGATTCGGAAGGGTTACTATGGTTTGTGTTGGGTGATTTTAATGCCATTTTGGGAGCCTCTGATAGAGTGGGTGGTGATCTTGTGTGGTATGGTTATATGGATGATTTCGGCTACTGTAGTCATGATGCTAAGTTGATTGGGTTTCCTTTTACTAGGCTTCGGTATACTTGGCATAAAAGGCAACAGGGCGATGGGATTATTCTACGGAAGCTTGATTGGGTCTTTGCATCGCTTTCTTGGTTCATTAATCGGCCGACCATAGTTTCAGAGTTTAACCTCGGGATGTCTCAGATCATCACTTTATGTTTGTTCGGTTTGGCTCTCATCATGGCAAGGTACCATCCCCTTTTAAATTTCTAAATTTTTGGGTTGATCATGCAGATTTTATGGATTTTGTTCAAACAGTTTGGGACGAGTCTATTGTAGGCAATCCTATGTTCCATCTTACGCAGAAATTGGGGTTATTGAAACGGAAGCTCAAATCTCTACATGTTAGGGATTCTAGCCATATCTTTAGTAGGGTGATTGAGGCTCGTGCTTAGTGGGCAACATCCAAGCAAATTTGGACCGAGACCCCCTTTTTACTGAGTGAGAGGAACCTTGCCAACTAGTATTTCAGTTTTTGTCGAGATGATGAGGCTTTTTTTAAGCAGCGATTTCGTGTTCAATGGCTGAACTTAGGGGGTCAGAATACTAAGTTCTTTCATAAGACATTGATCCACAGGCAGGTTCGAAACCGCATCCATGGTCGGATTGATGCGAAAGGTTTTCATATTACTGACAGTCAGGGTTTAGGGCGCCTGGCAGTGGGTTTTGTTCTTGTTTTAATAATGTGATGATATGTGATGAGGAGGAGGAGGAGGAGGACGACAATAATGATTATACTATATAGTATTTTGTGATATTAATTTTACGTTAATCCTTGTTTAAAAAAATCAAAAGGAGGGCAAAAATGTCAAATAATGACAATTTTATTTAGTTAGAGAATGGTGTATTTTGGGTTTAGGCTTTTGGGTTTCCTTTGCAGAGCATTGTTGCTCTGGTGTGGGCTAATTTGTAAAGGATTATGCATCTTTGTTTTGCTTGGTTCTTTTTTTTTGATGATCGGGGGTGTCAGGGCCAACTTGCTTGCTTGGTTCTTTTGCTTTCCCTCGATCCTCTGTTGTGTCTAAAGGGTCAGGGTGTTGGGGAGGTTTCCTCCCTTTAGGTGTCATAAAATTACGATTTACCCTTTTTTTTTTTTTTTTTTTTCCTCTGTTGTGTCTAAAGGGTCAGGGTGTTGGGGAGGTTTCCTCCCTTTAGGTGTCATAAAATTACGATTTACCCTTTTTTTTTTTTTTTTTTTGAATTATATAACATTGTTTATGTTTATCTGCTTAAAATGCTTAATTGAATACTAACTTTGTGTGCGCTTGTTCCATCTATCCTTAAGGCAAACGTTGCAAAACAAGGGCGGTTGCTTGGTTTGGGCGTGGGAACAAAGTACATTGGAGTAACAATTTCAAACTGAGGGCAGTTGCTTGGTTCGGACGTAGGAACAAAGTATGTTGGTGGTTGTTTCAAATTGAGGGCGGTTGCTTGGTTTGGACGTAGGAACAAAGTATGTTGGAGTGGCTTACAGTATGAGTCTGCATAATTTAGTGCTGTAATTTAATTTTTGTTTATGTGGGTGTTAATATGTAGAAATTAATTAGTAAAAGTTATATTATGTATTTGAATTATTATGTTAGGCTTTCCGTGGAGGTGAATCTTGTGTTTATGGTGTTTATAATGATTTGGCTGTAAATTGTATTATGACAGATAACTTATAATCTTTATTTAGGTGGATCTCATACTATAATTTGAAAGGTTTTATCATTGGATGTCTTTATCATACACCGTCGAACGTGACTAATTTGAGTTTTCATCACACGGGCTGTTATTATAATCTTTCTTTTAGTCTCTAATCTCTTTAAATTATTTTTATTTGGTTAGTTATTGAGTCTAGATCTCATTCAAATTATTTTTATTTGGTTAGGTTATGTGAGCAGAAGTTAAAGATTTTATTAATGAGCTCTTTAGAGTAGAAAAACTTAAAAGTTTTATTCAACACAGGTGAGTGTACTATGATACAACTTTTTTCATATCAGTATAGCTCCTTGAGGATATAACGTTAATTGTTAGATGGTATCCGATTTGTAAAATGCTAATGCTAAGTAGAAGTCAATTATTATTTAAAAAGATTAATTTTTTTTAGATGTAACAGTTGCCAAAAAAACAATTATAAATTAAGTTACATGAGACAGTTAAAGTCTAAGTTTAGCCATTCTTCTTGCATGTGTCTATTTATGATACTGTCTTCAATTTTAATAATTAATATGATTGAATCTTGAATTCATATTATTCAGAGGAGGCGGCAAAGGTCTTAAAGCATCGTACTTTGTCTTACTTTGAGAGAAAGACAACGTTAGACATAGTTGCTCAAATGATATTGGAGGCGTAACTTTTGCTTATGTTGCTATCTGTCTTTCATATCCTCAGGCATTTTGCACTTGTTTGGAAGACAAGCAATCACAGTTGTCCGATCACGAGCTATTTGTGTTTAGTGCGGTGGAACCGAAATTAACTATTCTTGAAAATTTTAGATGTTCGATTTTTTTGAATAATTTTTAGGCGTTTAATAGATAGAATTTAGAGAGATATTTGGGAAAGTTGCTTCCATTGGACAAAGATTATGAGAAACTTTCGGTATTTTGCTTTGGGATCCAAGAACTCTACATTATGAAAGAGAGAATGCAGTTTATAAGGTCACATAGAGAATGCAGTTTATAAGATCACCATAAGATCCTCAAAACCTATGATGAACGTGAAGTTACAAAGCTATGTTTGTTTCCTTAGTCCTATCTTATCCTATTCAAAATACATGTGTTTGTTTCACTATTCTCAAAATCTAATCTTATTTTATTTAACTTAAAATATTTAGATTTTTTTAACTCTCTAGGTTTGTTAATTTAACTAAACAATACCCCTAACTAGTTAGTTATGCGTCATTCCGATGACCTTCGACTACCCTTCAACGGTGGCGACTAACTTTCGACATTTAATGGGTGGGTGGGTGGGTGGGGTTTTTTTGTTAATTTTCAAACTTTTATTGTAGGGGATGTTTAATTAAATTAATAAATATAACGAATTAAAAAAATAATATTGTCAAATACATTTTCAAATTTAAATCTTATTCTCGTGATAATAACCCTATTTAACTTTTTCAAAGATACTGTTTAAAATAATAAAACAAACACATTGATAGATTCTTATATAAAAATATGCACAAGTTCTTCTGGTTATTCGAGGGGCACCATTACATTGTTTTATTGATGCTATAACATAGATAAATAATCTAGCATTGTAATATTTAAAGTAGGTTGATTCCTTTTCACGAGTATTAAAATTAGGGGTGTTTGGTTTCGTGTACCCTGTATTTTTTGAAGGAACTGGAACTGATGGTTCCTTGAAATTTGGAAACTTGCCCCAAAAATTTTTAAAATGGCCAAAAAAACTCTTAAAAACTTACAAATACCCCCTCCCCCCCAACTCTTTAATTTTATTTCATATTAGTGTCGGTTCCCAATTCCAGTTCCTAACTGTAGGACCCAGAATTGGAACCGCACAATGACTGTTCCAAAAATTTGGAATCGAAACCTACCCGTTGATAACCGATTCTAGGTAGGAACCAGAACTAAACCTGGGGTACCTATTGATTCCAGTTCCAATCAGTTCTTTTGAACACCCTTAATTAAAATCATGGAATATACTTTTATACCTTATGAGCTAATTGCATGAGTAAGAGAATGTTCTTGCTTGATGCCTTCATCCATCTTACCTTGATTTGGAGCTTGCTTAATGCTTTACATCAAAATCTTCTCAATTCCAGGGTTCACATGATTTTTGAAAAATAATTCAACCTCACCAGCATTTTCATTGCTGCAAAACTGCATAAGAAAATAACCGAGTCAACTTACAGTTCAACAGGGCAATAATAATATCAAATCCAATACATTCCTGACGCATTACTAAACATATGTGATTATATTAATTTTAGGATGCAAAAAGACTTCCACATTATTGTAGATGATTCAGATTAATTTTCCAAATCCTCATAACGCCCACAACCGATTATTTTAAAATCCCCGATGTGATTTCAATAAGATTAATAAGGTTAAATCAACCAAGGAGCTAGCTGTATACCTACAACCATCTCCATGCTGGCCTTCTAAGCTTATTCCTCCAAGTACAGAATTATCGTCTTGATCTTGAACCTAAAGAATTTTGAGATGAACTTAATAAACATGATGCTAACAAGGAAATTCAAAGCTGTCACGAAGCGTACTTAAAGAAGAGAGAGACGTCATCAGACACCAAAAGGTTCAAAACCTTTGCAACCATATCCGGGTCAGGAGAACATGCTATAGCCTCTGTGTCATGGCAAATATATAACATCAAATCCACACAAAAGTCCAAATCACAGATAAGAGATGAATGCAAGACCATCGTTAATTCAATTTTTATAAAGTCTTACGTAAAATCAGTTCCTTCTCTTGTACTGCATCAGCTCTTTTGTAAAACTTGAGTAGGGACTCGAAGCCACGCCTATCTGTGGTGGTAGCATTTCTCATTACAGCAATGTAAGCAGCCTGCAGAGCAAAAGAACTTGCTGCATGTCATATTTTAACATGTTCAAAGGAACGAGACAAAAACATAGATGTTTAGACTTTATTTTACCTTTCTCTTGTATTGGACTTCCCTGAAACATAACCATGTTGTTCTTACTAAATTTACCCATTCCATCCGGTTGTACGGGCCAGATGGGAATATTGCCATCTGAGTTTACCTTCTCTCTACCGTGCTCAATGTGTGTGCTCGGATCGTATGCCGGCATTTCTTCCACTGTGCAGCCACCTCTATCCTATCAAGTACAAGAAGAGAGAAAAGAAGAAAAGGTGAAAAGAAAAAAACAAAAACCAGGAACTTAGCACCGAAATAATCATTTCATAAGAGGAGGATATTTGACACACAAAAGATAGAACTACAGGCTGCTGAAATCAGGTTGTTGGCCTGTGGTTTTGTATAAACTCTCCACAACTCCCATTTCATCCCACATCTTGCAAGCAGTCTGTCTAAGTTAAACCGTACAAGGAAACTAAACAATCGTTATTGTCCTCAAACCCACTCACATCAAAAAATAAATTTATACGCGATATCACATTAATGACACTTGATATGACAATAATGTGTTTTCGGGCCAAAAAATTGCATATAGGACATATCAAATATAATAGAAGAATAATGTATCAGACAATTACTCTGATAAATCCGATTTCTTGGAACTGGCCAAAGGAGCGAGAAGAACTGAAAATCAGGCATAAGTCTTTTACATGTCATTAGATTCTAGTGGTGCATCAAGTTTCATATATAATAATATAATCTTTCATTCCTCATTTACATTAAACAAATATATTGAGCGCAGAACATCACTCAGATTGCAGCTAATGACAACAGAATTGGCTGCTAGGCTAAATTATCCACATCATCAATACCAATAAACACGATCTTATTGTAGACATATCTACATTTCGTGTATTTACGGTTCTTCAATGGCATCTATAACCTCATCCACTGTGGTATCCTCTCGAATAGCATCTACAATAAATCCTAACCAAATAAGTACCCTTTTCTTTGAGATAGCAGGTAGACAGCATAAGAGATTAAATCTAACCCATATCAGAGAGTATACATAAAGTAGCATGTCAAAGAGAAATTATATTGGGAGAATCTACAACAGCAATCCATAGAGCCTAAGAAGCATAGGTTGTAGATGAAAAGAGAAATGATCGAAAAATGTGTGTAGAAGAAAACGCAAATCATAACTCAAAGCTTGGTACTATGTTCTTACCTCATTTTGAAGAAGAACAAGTCATTCATGAAGAATCTTTTAAAGGTTAAAGCGGCCTCTGGACTTTCATATGCATGTTCACTTACTTTTTCCCAAGAAGAAAGTGAAAAAAAATAAAATAAAATATATTGACATATAAGAAAAGCATTGATACGAGGGTGGGGTGAGATGGGGTTTGGTTAGAAGGCTGAGGGGAGGTGTTTGTAGTGATGGGATGTGTTGTCGATCCTGAAAAACAGCTCTATTTGGTCTAGATTGTTGAAGCTGGCAGTGGTTATTAGGGGTCTTTTTGCATAATTTCAAACTTATAAGAACATTTGTAATTTCAAGGGTGTTTTTACTGGATTTTAAACCTTTTTACCTGCTGACATCACTGGTTTGACTTGCCGGTGAAACCAGTCAACCTAGGACCTGGCCAATTTGTCGGGTTTCACCCCGGACCAGGTTTTAAAACCTGGGTTCTATTTCCAAGAATGTAGAATAAGAATTGAGAAATTTGAATGCATCAAACTAACTCAAATTTTGGAGAAATGCAAAAAAAAAAAAAAAAAAAAAAAAAAAAAAAAAAAAAAAAAAAAAAAAAAAAAAAGAAATAAAGAACAAATTAAAAGGTACAAATTAAAAAGAAAAATAATAAAGCAAAGATTTAGTACTTACATGATCTTAACCAAACTCTTTCAATTGCATAAATTTTGTCTCCATTTAAAAAAAAAAAAATAGATTTAGGGTTTATAATTGAAAGTGGAATTAAAACTTTTACATAATTATAATTTTTACCGTCTTATTTAGTAATTTTATTAAGGAATAAAACTGTGATTAAAAATTAATAATAATTGAGCCGATAACATCACTCATTAATTAATAGAAATAATCAAGTTCTAATACTAT